TGCCGAGACCAGCTATATATATATAGAAACGATCTCACTGCCAAATCAGGATCCTGATATTTCCCCATCTGTGTGGAGGATTGGACATCACAACTTTGAGTGATATCAAGGACAAGGACGGGACAGGAGCATGTTGTTTCGTAGTAACTCCCGCACTTCAGATGATCTTCACATAGAGGAAATAGATTCAGAACCCAGCAATGGCTCAGGAAAATGCTATCACCAAGCTGTCGGCTGACTTGGAGCGGGATTTAAAGTCCGCTCAGCACAGGCAAGGATCATCCTATGTCCTGGGCGCCATGGCGATGATTGAAAGAATGAATGGAACCTACTACCATGCATTATCATGCTGATGTTCTTAAAGAAAAAGACAACTCTGAACTGAGGTGCACCCTATACCAATACCAGGAATCAGCAGATTATCTGCTGATCATCATCCAACTCTGAACTGAGGTATGACTTTTGACCCTGACAGCCCTGCCTTGCCTTTACAACGCAATGGGCTTGCCGGTTTCCTATTGGTTTTGGGGAACAAATATGATTTGAAAAAGAAACAACTGTGACTTGGGGGGAATGCGGCTAGGCTGCGGCTAGGCTTCTACCACTATCAGGACTTTTCTGGTCAAGCCTAGGTGACCTAAAATGATGCGCAAGCCGATCGAAACTGTACATTTGGGGGCTGGTGGTGTCAACCAACAATCAACTGCCTGCCAAAATTCAGTGGCATCAGCCGTGCTAAGTCTTGCAAAATGCAAACCGGTGTAGAAACCAAGCCCGGCTACCGAAAGAAACTGCTGGGGAGGAACATCTATGGCCTTTGTTTGTTTGGTTGGTTGGTGCTCTACCTGTAAATTCCCCACAATAATCCTTCCATTCAAGCCAAGCTTCGCCTTTGTTGCTTGCGCGAGCGCTTGGCGTTTCTTCTGCGAATCTTCCATATCCTGGTCCTCAGTCATAGTTGTGGATGTGGTTGCGGTTGTGGACTGGATGACTATTGATGATTGTTGATGGCTTTGCAAGAGGCTATCCCCGCTTCTTTTCCAGGGTTTTGCAATCCACTTCTCCAAACAAAAAACATAATCCCACGAGTGAGGGCAACGATTTACTTTACATAAGGGTCAATTTACGGAAACAGCCAATGTTTGTTTGGCAACAACTGATCTTCCGTGCAACGACGACAACGACAACAAGGGAGGGCTTGGCTTCAGCATATGGCCTCAGAAATCTAACACCGTCGCCGACCCATCCCTCGTTTCGGTGGCCGAAATTTTGCACCGAATCCCTGGTGTGAGTTGATGGTTACCTTGGGGCCCAATGGCTCCAGACCATGCTGAGATACTTGTTGAAGTGATCGATGTGTCGGGTTCTGCGTTTCTGTAGATCTTAACCAAGTAGATAGCCGCTGACTGTAGCATTTTGTAACCATATTTCTGAGGCAACCCATGATTTGAGACTTGAAGTCAGCGTATCTTCCAACCTTGATGACAGCCATCCAAGGCTCTTTCTTCCAGGAACCTTCAAAATGGTGCTCCACCATGTTCTCTACACCCTGCACAGCGAAACACTGGAAAATCCCCAGTCCGATTCCTGGGATCCCCTGGTTCCCCCTGGTCTCCTCTGTCTACGACCCGATCGATTGGGAGATCCAGGAAGTTTGACACATACGCCTATTCGTATAATATATATATATATATATATAATATTGTATATATATATATATATGTATGTCCATATTCATAATTTTATCCCATATGATCCACTACGTGTATAAGTGTATACATATTTATACGCACATTTACGTGTTATATATATATGTCTACATGCTACCATCTTCAAAATTGTTGTGTGTTGTTGAGGTACATTCCCATTCCTTCCCAGTGTGGCTGGTTGCACTATTTTTTCACCACAATTAGTTTCGCAGAATACCCTGGTCTGGCATGATTGGCAGTATGCCCATCTTCATATTACCATCTGGTTATGACTAACAGTTTGCCATGGAAAATCACCATGCTATTAATAGGTAAACCATCTCCGTGGTTTCCATGGCTATGTTAAATAACCAGAGGGTATGTAAAAAATAATAATTTTGTCTAATTTTATCATTGTGTTGCTTCAATGTGTTGGAAATGCCTACGTCGGTCGTAGCTAAATATCCCGATAAAAAGGCGCACAAAAAGTTGTGTTTTCTGTGTGAAATCTGCCTTTGGGATCCCAGATTTGCATGTGGCACTTGTGTCGAGGGCATGGTGGTTTGTTTTGGTGCTTTCGAACTTTCACAGATTGTAGCTTTACAATGCTTTACATATTTTACATTCCCATGACATCAAACAATTACCAAAATGATTGTCACTGATTGTCCCATGGAGGTGCCTTTCTACCAGCTGCTTACACTCTTCAATTCAGCCCGTATCCACGTGTTTTTCCTCTAATTGGTGACATCTCGGAAGAGCACACTCAGCGCACTCAGTGGAGGCGAATAAATTTTGGCGCTCCGTTTTGGTGTTTAAGATTCCCAGAAGATGTGTTTCCTTAAAATCCAGCAAGATGATTGGGTTTTAGTTCAAATCTTCACAATGTCTACCTAAAACATCTTAAAACAAACAGACCCCCATCTTGGGAGCTAAGAAGCCACATGTTCCTTGGATAGGGTCAATTCCCCATCCAATACAGGCTTGGGCCGAACGTGGGGTACCAATGGTATCAATCAAATGGGTCTACGTTCTGTTAAGCCATCCATTTTGGTGTGTACTAATAACAAATGATCATATAATGGATTATCTAAGACCATAGAGTGTACAAATAGCATGCAAACCATATCATGATCCATATCAATGTTCATGATGCTCACAAATAATTAGTCACACATGTTTGATCACCATGGAGCAACAAATCCGAAGCCGTTTCGTTGAGTCGCTGAAAATCTCCACCCCATATTTTCCCATGAAAAACTGGCGAAGAGAAGGGACCGGAAACCAATGAAACCTGGCAAAAACCAGATAGTTAATGGATGTGAATGGCAGATATACTTTCACATAACTATGGAAAATCACCATTTTTTAATGGGAACATCCACTATTTCTATGGTCGTTTTCAATAGCTATGTTAAGTTACCAGAGGGTAGATGCTACAAAAACCTTACTATGCCCGACCTCCGTGGGATCGTCCGCCGCGATCATTGGTGCCGCGTTCACGCGGCCGGCCGCGAAGACCCACATCTTCCACTGACCTCGGCAATGGAAACATATGACAAAATGGCTTTGGGAGCTGAAGCCAATCATCATGTTCCCATCATTTTCCCATAGAGATGGCGATTGTTCAGTGGGTATTTTGGGATCTCCGGTTGACAGTCATCCATGTTCCCAAGAGGCTTTCAATCATGTGGGGGTTCACCATGAAAGATGAGGATGTCAACAAGAAAATTGGAGAAAAATGGGGAGTAAAACTCCAAGACTCAAGGGGTTTTCCAGGGGTATCATGGAGGGAATACTGGCTTAATCACGCGTTTTTTCATGGCTAAGTGAGTTGGGGTCATCCCGCCAAATCAGATTTAAGATAAACATCTTGGAATCTACTTTCGAGTACTGTAATCAAACATGGCTAGCGGCTAGCTCTTAAATCCCCTGACTAAAGGAAAATCATCGAAGTAAATGGATGGATTTTTCGACAAACCATGTTTGATTGCATACCAGAGGGCGAACATGGGGAGAAGAACTTAAAGGTTGGGATTTGTTGACGTCAGTAAGAAACAAAAATGAGTCGGTTCTGACTAAAATTATCATATCGACTTGGGAGGGAACCATCAAGAAGCGCGACTCGTTCAACGGCAAAGATTCTGGCGTTCCTACTGGCTTCCAGGTTCCAGCGTTCAAACCGACTCCATACCCCCCAGCGCTCATAGAAAAAAACAATATCCATGATATCCCGACCAGTTGGGACCCCAATTCATGAACAAGTCTGATACATTCACGAGGTTTTCTTTTGAGTGGTACTTCAGATATTAGGAAGGGATTTCTTTGATATGTCCCGTTCTTTTTGGAAAGAAAAGTAATGAAAACTAGATAGTTCAATACCACAAATTGGAGAGTTGAAGCAGGTAAACTGGTTTGCATAGCTACGTTACACGGCACCCAAACCAATCAGTGGCGATCACTCAGCAGCTCGGCGCCAATGCCAAACCGAGACTCCGTAGCCAAAGAGATTTTCGCCTTAGGTGGAGGCGGTTGCCCCGAAAAAACACCACGGCCAGCCTTCAGAGAACAATGGCAAAACATAATGACATAACGAGTTTTGTATGACCGCATTTGTTTAGATATTTTTTTTAACATGTTCTATGATGTTTTATCCACATGCAAATATGGAAAGATACCTATTTTCATCCGGCTTGTACAAGAAACACTATATCATTCTCATCTGCGTCTGGCCAATTCAGGATGGACAGGTGGTTTTGCCATGGTTTGCCGACGTTTCTCATGGCCATTTGTGCCATGGTCAATGCACAGGCTATGGACCACCATCATTTGGGAAATCGCATTTTAGTCATGATAATTGCCGTTGAAACAACGGTGGCATTAGCGAAAGCATCACATCCCCCAATCTATGTGATCATAACCCAACGTTTGATTCTGTGTAGTTACATGATACATGTGGTTACATATGTCAAAATTATGTATATATATATATATATATGTATATATGCCTATATGTATATATGTATATATGTATATATGTGTATATGTATATATGTATATATGTATATATGTATATATAAATATATAAATATATATATATATATGCAAATATATGTATATATATATACATGTATATATGTATATATGTATATATGTATTTATGTATTTATGTATATATATATATGTAAATATATGTGTATATATATATACATGTGTATATGTATACATGTATACAGTATATGTATGTATATATATATATATGTGTGTGTGTGTGCCCCACCATACCCCACTATATCCCAATGAAGCTGCCAATCAATCACATTTTGTCATGGTAAAGTCCAACTTCTTTGACCATGTCTGGCTTTGATGGCCCCCAAACCGCCGCGCGCTGGCCGCCATTGGAACCCAGCAACTGGGGTAGGACAAGAAGTGCACATCGGGGGGATGACGTCGGACCTTGACTTCGTTCTCCACAGCGTGAGGACTCTTCATTTCCAAAAACTCGTGGACCGCGTCGCTGAAGACGCCGGGGCCTTATAAATAGGTCATGCAGTTGGTGAAGTAGCTTCAATTAGCAGGGTCAAGCAGGTCAAACTCCATAATTAACCAAAATAAACATAGCATGAAATAGCGTAAAATCTGATTTTAATTGATTTTAGACATTCCTTTGCAAACTACTTACCAACGCGAAGCTCAGAGAATATGAAAGGGGATGGTCTGGGGCCTAAACTGGGAATAAAGTCATGCTCATGAGATGAGCATCAGCTTCCGATCGCGTGTGTTTGTAATTTGGGTTTATGATTTTATGTATGGGCCCACTGTTCGCCACATACCCCCATGCACCACCATGGTTGCTCACTAAATACCCATTCTTGCCAAACTCCCCATTCTTGATTCTTCAATTCGCATAAGCCACGCTTGCCAAGCTTTGGCTGGTTCAATCCAAATTTCAGTTGTCCAATTCCATTTTGGTATGGTCAACATTGCTGCATCTTCATTTTTGTTTGCCAAACTCCTCACTGTGATTGGGTAAGAAAAACCCATGATTGTCGCTGTACTCGGGGATCCCCATTTCACTGCTTGAATCTATTAGATTTTTTTGTTGACTAAATTTCCAGTGTTGTAATTTGTTGGTGGCCATACGGTCGTAACCTCACCCTAATCTTGCTTCTTGACACCAAAAATTCCCCGGGTTCATGCGGCAAACACGATACTTTCTTGAACAGGTGTTTTACGGATCAGATAAGATTTAGATGCACAAGGATCAAAATAATTCAAAATATACAGATGCGTTTTGGGGCATTGGGTTTGGCGCATTCTATGGTTCCAACCCTATCATCTCCAACCAGTGGGGGCACCACCTTGATCTACCCATCAGCCATTCATTAAAGAGACCATTCTCCATAGCTACATCCAACTTGAAAATGGATGAAAATGGTATAACCATATCTTGTTGATCATATAGTTGCAACACACACAGATCCCGTTGAAGATGCGAGGCACCCGTCAACTCCAACGTGCTCTCGACCTTCCAGGTGTAGCGTTGCCGGATCAGCTCCAAACAGCGAAGGAGCACCGGGTTGCCTGTGACGATCTGTGACGATCTGTGACGATCTGTGACGATCTGTGACGATGGGATCGTCCGAGGCTTCCCTGAAATTCACAACTCACTGGATTGATTTAACGGAACAGGAAAGGGGGGGGTCGTTTCCCAATTTCCCCAAACAAATCACTAAAGCAGAGAGCTTAAAACTAAGACTGGTGGTGAGCACACACTGGTGGAGTATGGAATGACAAGTACAAGGTTTGATGATTGGATTACGGAGTATGCAAAGAAAATACTACAGTAACTTCAGGCTTCACCTGTGTATGCAATTGTGTGCGTATGCTTATGGCAAATTGGCCATAATTCTTGGTGATCATTTTGACCCATGGCTTCAGGCAACCTCATGACACATCTTGTTGGCTAATGGGCATTGGTTTTCCATGGTTTTCCCACTCCAATTCCTTTCATGTTGCCAACATGTTTAGAGGTACGGGAGGTGGATCGCTGATCACAACAGATTCTTTAACATCACCTTACCACTGACGAAATCACCATGCGTACGCGTACGCGTGCGCAATAGTGGAAAAGGTGGTTATATACATCGTGTGGAAGAAACATACGTACAACTTGACAACCGGTGGGTTTCAGTCCACAACTATTTGGTCCTGGTTCTGAAGTGCTGGTTTTGAATGTGAGGGCTCGCAAAGAGACATACATATCTACATATAAAATTATACATACAATCATATAAATAAGGTTTGTAGATGATGTTCATGTCCATTTGTTCCTTACCGCCAACATCCGTGTTTTTTTTTTAATGTTTTTTTCCCGTATTCACTTCGCCTGGAGCCGATGCGATGAACCATTGCTGAAACTGCTCGGTGCGGGCAAACTTGATCCTGACAGCTGTGACGGCGGTTCCGAGAGATTCTGTAAGCACGGGTTTTTCACATGATCAACACATGATCAATAGGTGGTTGGTGGTTGAAAAACATAAAATGCATAGAGTTCACTTAATAACCTCAATAAACCACGGGGAGCCCTGGGGGGTTCTGAAAAATACCTTGGGATATCTCGATTTCTTGGTTTTGTTACAACGCTGTTCAAGGGAAAATGATAAAAACAAATCCATGGGATTTAGCCCCCAATCATAGGCATTTAAAAGTAACTAATGAGCAGGATAGCGAGAAACAATCCTCAATGAATGGCAAACACAGAAACCGTGTAAAACCATGCGTCTTGCGGATTCCCAGATCAAACTTGGCTGTGCAACCCCATAGAGCATCCATACATCAAAAAAGGACACCCAAAAATCACTCATCATGTGAGATGCATTCTAAAGAGTGTAAACTGTAACTTCAAAATTGTTTTATACGCAAATATAGTACACATGAACTACATATAATATATAACTACATAATATTTTGTAAAATTAATTATGTAGTATAGGTGCCAGGCCGGAGCTACCAGGAACCACTAATGTTGCGATGTAATACACAAATGGGATCAAATGGAGTGGTGGGGGATCTAATAACGTTCTGTTGGCTGTGTTGGATGAAAGCAACAGCTACGTTGAAGATGTTTTGGCAATGGTGATTGCTTCGTTTTATTGTTTTCTTTTGGAGGTATCCATCTTAGAATCAGCCAGGTACCTGCCAGGTACCTACATTTGCCCGGGAATGTCCAATTCCTCCGTAAAGGGCATTCCGGGTTCAAGGGGTGAACGTTTTAGCGAACCATTGAGCTGAGGAGCTGAGCTCGCTGCCATTCAGGAAAGCGATGACCGAATTCATAGCCAACTATCATGTTGGTTGCCTGCGTTCACCGCAAGCATCACAATGGAACAACTTGGAAATTCAATGTGGGAAACCCTGGGGCAAATCTCGTCCTCCGGAGGAAGATTGTCCTGGCTGCTATGGTTGAATCCAAGAGGATAGCCATGTTCGAGGGCACGTGTCCCATTCAGGATATTCAACCAAGTGCAACGTGTGGTAGTCAAGGCGTGCGCTGAAGTGTTGCACATTCGGCTGTTCCTGTTAATGCCAACCAATGCCACCGTTCCATCCGAACGGAGAACATTCTCCCTTGGGTTTCATGCCGGGTTTTATTACATGTGGTTGCCGTTCCTTTTTGTTGTGTAAACGTAAACATTTCACAGCACACATGCACGCGCACACACATGTGTATATTATATATATATGCGTGTGTGTGTGTCATTATTATTCTATACATGTCAAGATGTAGACACGCAAGCTTTCCCCAGGAGTTATATCCGTGATCACTTGTTTTGAGTTTTGTTGAAATTGACGTGCTATGATACTCTAAAGCAAACTCGGGGGTCGACAAGCACACGCGTCCCGGACCTCTGGAAGTTTGTACTGATCGACTGGCTTTTTACATGCGACATCCACATCCTTGGCTGTGACATCATTTTTTCAAAAATGACTTGAGTGGAATAAATTGGATAAACGATGGGATAATTGTTTCAATCATACGCTGGGAAAACAACAGCAACAACAACAACACCAGCAGCAGCAGCAGAAGCAGCAGCAGCTGCAGCTGCAGCAGCAGCAACAACAAGCAACACGCAACATGCAACACGCAACAAGCAACATACAATAAGCAACAATCAACAGCAACAACAACAACAACAACATCTGCAGGACCCAACGCCTACATTTTTGATACAATACATACAGATTCATGCAGAGGCTAGCGTCCAAGAGCAACCTCCCAGCTCCATGAGACGCGACTGAGGAAAACTTTGGAGATCAAACAGGCATGGGTTATTCAAAACAGGCAGTTTCTATATATATATATATTCTGATTTATTTTAGGGAACGCACACACAAACATGTATATATATATGTGTGTGTGTAAATATAGTGTTATGTTTTTCTTCTGGCTGGCTGGTTTCAATCAACCCCACCCGCAACTATCAGTCAAGTCGGATCATCAGCCGAAGTAGGATAAAACATCAACAACCTAAGTGTTTGAAACCATCCATTTTCTTTCTGTGTCTTTCTGTTGCCTGCTTGGTAGCTGAAGGTTGCAAGGGACAAAATATGTGGCCCACTGATGCGCCATTTCATCATGGCCAATCTTCGATACCCAAATAGCCTGGCCTCGCTTGCACCCACCATATGATTCGATCGATCTTTCTAAATAAACAAATAAATATGTATATATATATATATATATATATAACGATGTTCATGCGGGTTTCCAGGATCATCTTTCATGATCATTCATGATCATTGGTGATCATTCAGCGTGGCAAATATGTGCAATATAATATATATATATATAAATATACAGCATCAAACTTCCAAAGGGTTTCATAGATATGGACTTGTAAGTATACCAAGGGAGGATGTCTATATGATAAAACAGCATACAGCAGCACCCAAATAATAACCCGGAGTTTCTGACCTGAACATACCAATCAAAAAAGAAAAACATCCAAATTACAAAGCATTGGGGTAAATCATAATAGTCAATATGAAATTAAAACCATTTGGGGATGATTCCTCGCAATCAAACCATGACACCAGGGTTCGGTCGCAGTGAGGTCACTATCATTTACCCATCCCAGCCCTTTGCGAGTGCGGCCGGGTGTCAGCATAGTAGCCACCCTGGTACCACAGGACGAGATAGCGGAAGACATCGGCGCGCTGAACGGGTTGCAAACCTGGTTTAACCGCCACGAATGTCTCAGGTTTTCACCATACTGGGATATCAATGACAGCTTCAGGATATAAATTGTATATATATATATACGTATATTTATATGAATTCTCAGGATACATACATACACATAAACATATATATATATATATATATACATGTGTGTGTGATGAGATATGCACTGATATGAATATCGAAATGATGGAATATATGTATATATTTACATATACACATATTATACATATATATATAGTGGGATGTTAAAGGTTCATTTAGGATTGACAAATACCACCAACAACCACCAATACCATTACTTGGTGGTAAACTAGCCAGGAATCGCAAGTGGCTTAGTTCCCACCAGGTAATTCAATGTGGTGGGGGGCAATGTCCACAGGTACGTGGCAATATAGCCCACTTACGATTCCCGTGGTGAGCCACCAAGTAATACATGATAATATGCCAATATGCTGCATATGCGGTATATTTGCCTACGTTTGGGTGATTCTGGGGTAGAAGTTGGTGAATTTGAATATAAGATGCATGGAGCATATGGGATGTTTTTTTTTGAAAATTATTCATGAATATTGAGGGCTTGATAAAGTTATGATTTTCAAGATTCTTGTTTGATACTTTGTGATTGCGAGTGGTGCAGTGAAGATTGATTTCTGTTTTTTCATCTGTCTCTCTCTCTCTTTCTCTCTCTCTCTGGCTCTCTTTCCATTACCTTCAGAGGAGTATCTGTCCCAGGGATCCTGGGCAAAAAGCACCACGCTTCATAGATCCCTCCAATTTCCCATGAGTTCCCGTTCTAAGTCCCTACTTCTCTGCATGGTCCATGTCAAGTGTGCCAAATCATCCCGCTATGCCCGGACCATGCCCGGATCATGCCCCACTACAACATACTATAGTTCCTCTCTTAAAATCAGTTCCATGGATTTCTGGAATATCATCCTTTCTTTCTTCTCAATGCGAAAATACCATAAATACCCCTTGGCTTCGGAGACTTCCCAGCCATCTCAGGTGTGATCCAGGTGGGTCTCCAGCCTTCCCAAATGGGCCAAATGATCTTGGGAGATGCCTTCTGCGCCAGCTCGGCAATCTCCTGAGGCTCTGGTGCCTCTTGGCAGACACCAAAGATTGATTGCAATTTGATGGTGGCCAATGTTTATCGCAACCAATAATATGTCTATATTATATGTCTATGCATATATATATATACATATGCATCCTTATTGGACCTGTTTTGCGGTAATATCATGTGGCAAGTAGCTTATGCAAACGTAGACCGAATATCGCAATGTCTTCATGCACGCGTATGGGTATGTATTAATGTAGATACATACACTTTTTTTGGATGCAATTTTGGGCAATAGCTACCGACGACTGTTTCCACTTAGTGCCCACTGTTCTCATTTTGAATTCTCCCTGGAACATCCTGGAACCAAAAGTGCCAACGAGCCTCGGCCACTTGTTCATTGGTTGTTTGGGGGTTTGGGATCATGAAGTCATATCAAACACCAATCTGCGGGAAGTTTTGGTTGATCTTGGTTGAACAAAAGGCCCCAACCCAGCATCATCCGAAATCACCCGTCTGGTATTAGCTTTCCAAACAAAAGCAAGAAACGCAACGGAATATGTACTCCAGTCTTTTGAGTACATGCCCAAAGTTTCAAATCTTAATCTCTTCTCTCTCTTCCCTCTCGGGACTGTCCGCAGCCGTCCCATGAGGACGTCCCAGTGATGGAATGGTGTAGATATGCAAACATCTGCCAAGAAGGGCAGACATGTACAGGGACCCAAGAACGCTACTCGTCCACAACAGCCGTTGTAGGAACTAATTATATGGAATTATGACATGCCACATGCTAATCATTAATCATTGTTAATCTATATGTGGCTGGTTCCACTCTGAAGTCTAATTTTCCCTGCTTTCTGGAGGGCACAGGGCACCACCCGGTGACCATGTGACTCGCGGCCACGGTCTTCCCGTTAGTTTCAGGCAGGTCTCAGTGTCATTCCAAAGTTTGTACTCACCTGGCAGGATTCCAAGGACGCACTGCCAGGGCGCGGCTAAGCGTCGCGAGGAGATATGTTGCAATATGCATCCTGTAGCTAATGAAAGGAGATGGGATAGAAATCCACCATGGACCATCTTGATTCAGATTGTGCTGAGGCGGGAAGTCGCAAGGTCGACTAGGCTGGAGAAAAATGATAATCGTTCACCTGCTGTCTGAAATTCTAGGTCAGACCTATGCGGAGTTAAAACATGTCAGAACCACCCCTTGCCATTTTCATTCATTTTCCCTATGTTCCCAATTCCCATCTTTTTAAAGTGCTACATCATCTTGCAGTGCTACTGATACAGCCTTGTAGTTCATCCTATATTGGTGAGGTCTCCATCTTTATCTTTACAGCATCTGCTGGTTCAAACCAGGCAACCCACATAGATTTTGCATGGTTACGACCCGTTTCTTGTAATGAATTCATCTCTCCAAAATTCCAAAAGCTTTGAAAATCCAACATCACCATGTTTCCATCTTTGGGTTCGGACCAAAATTTGGAACCCCATGGTCCAGATCGGCCCACTGGGCTTGACACTTCGACCTATGTACTATCTGACACTCCGATAGCAATGTGATGGCAGTAATAATGGCGAATGTTAGATGCTCTGCCTGCAACATGCATCGCAAAACATTGACTCGGAATTATATCCCCAATTGAAGCAACCTTGCGCCTTTTGACCACCCAACCAAGGCTTACTCAAACATGCGTCCCAAACCACGTACTTTCAAATATACATCTCAAAGGATTTTAGTATTAAATTCCACTGGTTTTGCTTGTCTCTCAACATTTGTCCAGAACCGGCGGGCATTCTGCATCTCACGACTAAGGTGTTCCTGCAGATTGTCACTAATGAAACCATTTTTTGGCCCATGTCAGCCCCTTTCAACACCAACACGGACAATTCCATATCGGTGCCATTTTGTCGCGTGACCCATGGCATCAAAGATGTATAAATGTGAACATGTATTAAATATATATATAAATCATTTCTGTAATAGAATACTGTACTGTGAAAAAAAATATATGTATGTAAATATATATATATATATATTATT